CATCTGTCCATCTATCTCTATCTATCTAATCTCACTCATTCTATCTATCTATCTATCCATCTATCTATCTATCTCGCTCTGTTCTTATCTATCTATCTATCCATCTCGCTCCTGTTCCATCTATCTATCCATCTATCTATCTATCTATCTATCTCTGTTCTTATCTATCTATCCATCCATCCATCCCCGCTCTGTTCCATCTATCTATCTATCTCGCTCTGTTCTTATCTATCTATCTATCTATCTATCTATCTCTGTTTCCCACTATCTATCTATCCATCTCATCTATCCATCCATCCCCTCGCTCTGTTCTTATCCATCTATCCATCCATCTATCTGTCCATCTATCTCTATCTATCTATCTCGCTCTGTTCTCCATCCTGTCTATCCATCTATCTATCTCGCCTGTTCTTATCTATCCATCTATCCATCTCATCCATCCATCTATCTATCCATCTATCTATCTCGCTCTGTTCTTATCTATCCATCTATCTATCTCGCTCTGTTCTTATCTATCCATCTATCTATCTATCTATCCATCTCGCTCCTGTTCTTATCCATCTATCCATCTATCTCGCCTGTTCTATCCATCTATCCATCTATCCATCCATCTATCCCCTATCTGTTCTCCATCCATCTATCCATCCATCCATCCATCCTCCCTGTTCCATCTATCCATCTATCTATCCCGCTATCTATCTATCTCTATTTCCTCTGTTCTTATCTATCTATCAATCTATCTCGCTCTGTTCTGTCTGTCTCTCATCTATCTATCTGTCCCGCTCCTGTTCTTATCTATCTATCCATCCATCTATCCATCTATCTATCCCCTATCTATCTATCTCCATCTGTTCTCCATCTATCCATCTATCCCGCTCTGTTCTTATCTATCTATCTATCCATCCATCTCTATCTCGCCTGTTCCTATCTATCCATCTATCTCCTGCCCTGTTCCATCCATCTATCTATCTATCTATCTGTCATCTATCCGCTCTGTTCTTATCTATCTATCTATCCATCCATCTATCTCTATCTATCTATCTCTCTCGCTCTCTTATCTATCTATCTATCTATCTATCTGTTCTATCTATCTATCTATCTATCCATCTATCCATCCGTTCTATCCATCTATCTATCTAATCTCGCTCTGTTCTTATCCTATCTATCTATCTATCTATCTGTTCATCTATCCAATCTATCTATCTGTTCTTATCTGTATCTATCTATCTATCTATCTATCTCGCTCTGTTCTTATCTATCTATCTATCTATCTATCTATCTCGCTCTGTTCTTATCATCTATCTATCTATCTATCTCGCTCTGTTCTTATCTATCTATCTATCTATCTATCTATCTATCTATCTCCCCGCTCTGTTCTTATCCATCTATCTATCTATCTATCCATCCATCTCTGCCCTTCCCCATCCATCTATCTATCCATCCCTGTTCCATCTATCTATCTATCTATCCTCGCCCTGTTATCCATCTATCTATCTATCTCGCTCTGTTCTTATCCATCTATCCATCTATCTATCTCGCTCTGTTCCATCTATCCATCCATCCATCCATCTATCTCATCCTGTCTCATCCTATCCTATCTATCTATCTCCTCTGTTCCATCTATCTATCTATCTATCTCGCTATCTGTTTCTTATCTATCTATCTATCTATCTATCCATCCCGCTCTGTTCCATCTATCTATCTATCTATCTATCTATCTATCTCCGCCTGTTCTTATCTATCTATCCATCTATCTCGCTCTGTTCCCCCATCTATCTATCTATCTATCTATCTATCTATCTATCTATCCTGTCTGTCTGTCTATCTGTCTCCATCCATCTATCTGTCTATCTATCTATCTATCTATCTATCTATCTCGCTCCTGTTTCTTATCTATCTATCTATCTATCTATCTATCTATCTATCTCGCTCTGTTCTTATCTATCTATCTATCTATCTATCTGTCTGTCTGTCTATCTATCTGTCATCTATCTATCTATCTATCTATCTATCTATCTATCTCTATTCTTATCTATCTATCTATCTATCTGTCTTATCTGTCTATCTAATCTATCTGTCTCGCTGTTCTTATCTATCTATCTATCTATCTGTCAATCTCGCTATCTATCTATCCTCATTATCTATCTATCCATCTATCTATCTGCCCCGTTCTTATCTATCTATATCTATCCATCCATCCCCGCCTCTGTTCCATCTATCCATCCATCCATCCATCCATCCAATCCGCCCTGTTCTTATCTATCCATCTATCCAATCTCGCCCTGTTCTTATCTATCCATCCATCCATCCCGCCTGTTCCATCTCATCCATCCATCCATCCCATCTGTTCCATCATCCATCCATCCATCCATCTATCCATCCATCCATCCATCCATCCCGCCCGTCCCCATCCATCTATCTATCTATCCTGCCCTGTTCTTATCTATCCATCCATCCATCCAATCTCGCTCTGTTCCATCTCATCCATCCATCCATCTAATCTCGCTCTGTTCCCATCTCATCCATCTATCTACATCCAATCTCTCCCTGTTCTCTGTCTATCTATCCATCCATCTATCCTGCCTGTCTGTCTATCCATCTATCCATCCATCCATCCAATCTCGCCCTGTTCTTATCTATCTATCTATCTAATCTCGCCTGTTCTTATCTATCTATCTATCTATGTCTCGCTCTGTTCTTATCTATCTATCTATCTATCTATCTATCTCATCTGTTCTTATCTATCTATCTATCTATCTAATCTCCTTTCTGTTCTTATATCTATCTATCTATCTATCTATCTATCCTATATATATATATATATATATATATATATATATATATATATATATATGTTTAATCTCGTTCTTTTCTTATTTATCTATCAATCTATCTTTGTTTTTAATTGGTGTCACCCCATGCAGCGCATAAAAGTCACTAAGACCCAATGGGTTGCAGTTTGTGGAAGAATTAGGAACAGAAACATTAATAATGAGCAGGAAGACAAAAGAGTAAACAGGTAGACAGTAGACAATGATTGACATTACATTTAAATCTTCGAGTATTAAAGTTGTATAGAAAGCATGGGGTCGGATGGGAGTTCCACACGCGTGGAATTCGAGAAAAGAAACTGTTAACATAGAATTTTTGGCTTCACCTAGACAACTCAACTGTAAATTAATGAAATCTCAGCGTTTAAAATACAAATGTCTAGATATCATGTAAATATTTATAGAAATAACACAGACAGGTCTGAAAGTAAGTGAAGATGTGCTGCCAGATCTGTACTAATAATATTGCTGATTCTTCTTTTGATTTTATCAAGGAGCTAAAGGTAAATTGTTGTGTAAACGGGTCATATTTTGCAGCAATATTCTAAGCAAGGACGAATGGAAAAATTAAGATATGTAAAATAAAATCTATCTATCTATCTATCTATCTATCTTAATCTAATCTATCCTAATCTAATCTAATCTAATATATCCTAATCTAATCTACCCACGTAAGCACGGCGCTAGAAAATAAAATTAAGTTTAGACTAAATAGCATATTAAAAGTGAGCAATGTCTATATCAGATATTTCGTTTAAAACATTCTTAATTCTTTATTTATCGTGAACATTTTTAACACGGTATCTATCTTACAGTTTACGCCTGTCTTCTTGGTAAGTCTGATCGGTTCAATAAGGTGAAATTGGCAGCTGATCTGAAAAATGACCTACAATCTGTTGTTGACTCTGGCAAGAAATGGCTTGTTAATTTTAACGCCTCCAAAGCGAAACCGTTTTCTTTTAATCGTTTTAATGAACTTTTTTTCCCTTTCAACAGTTTGGCTGATGCCAACGTCTAGGAGAGTGACTCGTTGAACTTTTTTCGGGTAAACGTTTTCTCCTGACATTAAGTGAAAAGATTAATATTGAATGAATTTTCTGCAAGGAAATTTGGTTCAGTCAGTCGTGCTAGTCAATTTTTCTCGTCATTTTAACCATTTATATGTTGGCCATTCGTCTATGTATTGAATATTGCTGCCATATATGGTCTTTTGTTTCCGCTATGTTTTTTAGAAATTCTTGATAAAAATTAAAAGCAGAATCTGCAATGTTATTTGTTTTGTTCTTGTGTTTTGACTTCTCTCACTTTCCCACACCGAGGAAATGTAGGTACCTATGTTGTTTTATTTATAAATATTTTAAGTGTAATTGTTCTGCCGAGCCTTCCTTTTTGATAACGCGTTGACAGCTAGATCTCATCCTTTTAAAGGTAAATGGCTAGGTGTAACCGTAAGTTCTATGCTGGCAGATTCTTCTCTCACACTTATCGCCTGGGAACTTATTTCCCGCCTCTTGCTTACTTCGTTATGTTTTGTCTTCTTAATACTTCTTCTGTTACCGTTCTGTCTCCTTAACAATATTTTTCAGATCCAGGAACACCTTTTGTTAATTCATAGTTTCAGAGTATTATTTTTTTGTGGCATTTTTTTTTTTTTTTTTTTTGCTCAGGCCATCTGAGGCTGGCCTTTAAGTTCAGGCTGTAGACAAAACAAAGGAAGTCGTTTTTAAGTGTTTAAAACTACCGTGAGAATGTTAGAGAGATAGACAGTTATTTCAGGGAGTTAAGTTTTATTTTCGTGTAAGGAAACAACTCCTCAGTGGGGGGGGGTGATAGAGTGTCTCCACTGGCTAGCTAAAAATGTTTAATAAGATCGATGTGATTAAAATCACTTTTGTTGAATTCCTCTTTTATTTCCGAAAGAAAAAAAAAAACTGGCGATCAACGGCCGACAAAGTAGAAGGCCATAACGTTGAATCAAGACCGTCGCCCCAAGACCTCCCCAGAGGAGGGATAGTATACAAAAATTGCGATTTCGTAGTTTATTGCCTTGCTTGGGGTGAAGGGATTAAAATCTTTACTTATTTTCTTTTTGCTAGTAGTTATCTTCTAGAATGAGGTCTATACACATTTCCAAGGGCTTACCTTAAATTACGGCATAGAAATCAACCTGGTGTATAATTCGACTTGGCGTGCATGCCATCAAATGTTTTAGTTCAAAATTCTGATTTAGGCCAATACCTACCGTATAGGACGGCACTCGAATATACGGTAGGCTAACAGAGGCCCAAAACTTGAACCAAGCCGTAAATGAAGTTATGCCAGAGTATACAATAACTTGTCCCTAAACTAGATAATTTCACAACATTTACCTGTATATTGAAACATTATCCGTAATATTGTATTGGTATACATTAGCAGAACATTTACACTTAACCTTAATAAAATACTGAATTTGTGTTACTACTTATACTCATTTCTCTATTAATTTGCCAAATATTTTCACCAAACAATATTTTAGCGGGATATATTTGTGGCACCCTGCTGAAAGTACGCAAAGTAGTGTACCTTAACTGTTAGGAGTGCGGTCCCACTTGTTTACAACTCGGCCATATAATACGACATATATTTATACACGCCATATAATTCGTATCCTAGTTTTATAAATATTTTAAGGTTATAAATCTTTACATGTACACTAAAACTGACGGTATATCAAAATTATAGAGTATAATGCTTTGAAAAAGAAAAAATAAACGTAAATAGAATGAAGCTAATTAGATTAATGTAGTATTATGTTCATTTCAAACACACACGCATTTCAGTCCCAATCTGTGCTATCTATATGGCCGCAGATACACACACACATATATACATACATACACATGCGCACACACACATATACGTACATACATACATACACACATACACACACACACACATATATACGTACATACATACATACACACACACATATACGTACATACATACATACACACACACATATACGTACATACATACATACATACACACATATATACGTACATACATACACACATATATACGTACACACATACATACATACACACACACACATACATACATACACACACACACACATATATATATATGATAAAAAGGCTTAAATACTAATATTCCATGGGCATAATTTATTCCATTGGAATCGTAAACACGATCCAATTCATCAGACCTACAAATTCAAAAAGAAAACAGAAAAAACAACTCCGGAAATAAAAATATAATTTAGAAAGAGTGTAAGTATGTGAGTGTGGGACGAATGTTAGAACTAAAGAGAGGGGTAACGGACGAGAGAGGGTGGGAGATTAAAATTTAACAGAGAGAAGTTTTAGAGAGGTGAGTGGAAGAGGTTTAAGTGAGAGAAACATGAATATTGTCGGATGTCTAATACATTAAAGATACATTTCGTGGTGACATACACACGCCATAGACGATCTAATTTTAAAGATCAGAATAAGAGGGAGGAAGAAGAAAAGAAAAGAAGAAGGGGTGGGGAGAGAGATGGGGCGGGGGAAACTAAAACTGAAGGGCATTTACTGAAAGGGCCGCTGTGTAATTAAGAAAATTTGACAAAATTAATATCGACTACAGGTTACAAATCAAATATAAACATATAAAAAATAAATATAACGATTATCTTATCTAGCAAGGACCTATATTTTTATGTTCAAAAACACATGCTAATACACACATACACAATAACATATACACGTACATACATACATATAGGCGTGTACCCACATACACACATACATATACCCATGTACACACATACACATATATCCACATATGTATGCACCTATGTATATATATTTTGCATATGTATGTATATATACCACTAATATTAGCTATATATATATATATATATATATATATATATATATATATATATATATATATATATATATTTTATTTCTGCTTTGGAGACGCCAAATTGGCGAAAATCTTGGAGAAAATTCCTTTCTTAGACCATGTCAGATAATCCAGCTGTCCAGTGCATTACCGATAAACTGCTTGACAAACGCCACGTGTTGAACAGAGAGTTGTCACATTAAGCGCCCATGATAACGGCGATTTGAAAGAAAGAAAAAAAAGAAAGAAAAGAGATCATTAATTTTTTTTAGTTAAGCAAGGTATATTTCTTTTCCAAAACAAAGCCACGGGTTGTACACGCCCGACTAAGACGTCATTGGCCACGTGGTGATCACATGACGCACGAAGGAGGAGGAAAGATACCCGACCAGGACCTCATTGGCCGAGAGTGGTCACGTGACGCACGAAGAAAACAGTCGACGCCCTATCCAGAGTATAAGTATGAGAAGCCGCTACGAAGAAGTGGGGAGGGCAGTTCACGCCCTCAGAAGCATGGTGAGAAAGTGGGAGGAGAAAAGAGTTACCAAAATGGAAAAGAGTGGAAAATCCCTAACCAGAAATAAGAAGGTGGATATGTATTTAGAATTATCGAAGAACCCCCGACGCCAAACAGACCCACCCCGGTTTTTGTCAGCGTCAATAAAAGCGAGACCCCAACAGGCAGAAGTCGGTTCGCGCCCCGACGGCAGTGATGAGTGCCCAGTAATTCGCGCCCCGACGGCAGAGATGAGTGCCCAGTCGTTCGTCGGCGTCTGGCAGG